CGCCGCAGGCCGACCAGTGAGCTACTGGAGCGGCGGTGTTCCTTGTGGGGCATGTTTTATTACACAAGAAATCTTCTTATCAATAAAAATTACGGTAACTTTGACAATCTTCTTTTTGAAAGCTGTCAATATTTTGCTTTTAAAAACTATACGAAGTTAAAAGTTTTTATAACATAACAGAGTTTTATATAAATCGGAATCCCAATCCCGGCAATAAAAAAAATAAAAATTCCATCCCCGTAAAATCCCCCAACTTGAACCAGTACTTGTAACGCTGCACTGGCGCTACAGTACAGCGTAAATTCAAAACTCGCCAAAACTATAATTGAAGGCGTCACAACTGTTGATTTAACTTGATAGAAAAGGCGTTAATTAAAAAAATAAAACAAAACGAGAATCTTAACATACTTTTATTAAAAAAAATACTTTATACTGCATTGCTGATTTACAAATATTGTATGTAATATAAATTAATAAATAAATAAAGTATGGAAACATGAAAAAAGTATGTATATTTTACTTTCCTGCGAATATTATGTTTATACTTAAATTAACTATGAAGTTCCAAATAATTATTTATTATTTGTGAAGCAATTTGATACAATATTTTAATTTTATAAGAAAATGTTTACATAATTATTTTTGATACATTATTTTGTTCATATATAGATTACATAAGAGATGCACCTATATATTCAACTATACAAAACGTGATTTTTTTGTCTTTATTTAAGAGAATCCGAGAATCGATATTTTGGCAACACAATAGAGATAAATTTTAACATGTGCGAAAATTTCAAGTAACTAAATCGGATATTTCCCACTATAAATTAAATATTCAGTTTTACAATATGTAGGTACAGTCAGCTGCATAATACATCTACAAACTACGTTTCAAATATATTTATCTATTCTTCCATATGCATCCGACCATAAAATGCTTTTGACAAATAAATGCATATATCTGAAAACCTAAGACCCATACAAATATCTATATTATTTAATGTATACATTTTCCGCAGCTGTATGTACAATGACGTCCACTAGCGGTATTCCACTTACAGTAATACTCCCTCACACCATCGCTATAACACCTCACTGTACTTATAACATTTACTAATATAAGCCACCATTCATATTTTATTTAAAAAATTAAAATTTTTTAAAGTTATATTTTTTTGTTTTCGCTATCATTTTAATTCCAAAACATCTTTGGTAACAATGATTTTGTACTTTATTATAAATTGTTTTAAAATCATAGTAACGTTAGAAAATAATAATAGAGAAAATCAATTGCTTTCTGGATGAATAAAAAACGGAATGAATAATTGGAATTAAGAATGAAATGAACATACATAATTGTCTTTTAGTTTACTAAATACTTTTAAACAAAAAAAATAAAAAAAAAACATACGGACGAATTGAGTACCTCCTTTAAGAAGTCGATCAAAAAATCTATTCGTCCACAAGATTCGTTATCGTAAATTAATAGCATATTTTAATTGAAACAATTTACAACTACATCACAAAAGGTTACGTAGAATTAATAAAAAAAAAATGACAAACATATTATTTTTCCAAAAATAACAAAAAATTTTTCATTTTTTTATAATCGACTAAGATATCTGAAATAGAAAATATTCACAAAAAGAAATACATAGCTTAAATTTTTCTTAGTTTATTTCCTTTTATTCGTGTTTTTGTTGATTTTTATTTTCTTAATTATTTTAATAAAAACTAAGGTATCTATCTGTACTTAAATAATATCACAATCTACTTTTATGGTACACTCCTGTAAAGACTAGGGATTATTAAGCGAAATATATTTACATATTCCTGGATCGATACGGCTTTTAATATATTATTAAATCTATATAAAGAATAATTCCATCGATTACCACTTCTACTAAAAAACCTAACCTAAATTCGAACTATCATAACATCACTTACATCATAAGAGTATTACATGAATTTTATCTAAATTATCAATTATTCTAAAAATAATATTGTAAAATAAAAAGGGTGATTTACTTTATAACAAACTTTAAAAAAATATCAATGTCATTGTCAAGTATCTTTAAAAAAATTAATTGCATTTTCAATATAAAATTAATCTATGATCAGGTTTCTAGAAATTTCCATAAAAAAGCGTTTTTTAAGCATTTCATTCATTACATAAAAATATTGACGTGACAAAACGAGACCTGCTCGAGTTGATACTCTTAATTAAAAAAAAAAAATTTTTTTTTTACCATCAGCAAAGTAAACTAATATTTCCATTATCGCTACCTAATAGTAGGAGTCTGTTTAATGGCAACACTGACATACACGTCAGAACTCCTTTGAATGTGTCGGAGCGCAGTTTGGTGGAGGAGAATGAGGCGTCTTGGTCCAACGACGTATGAACTCCGATACGGTTATTGGTTGTTCCAGATATCAACTCGTTGTAGTAAACGGAGAGACAATGCACGGGCTCCGTACTGCCCCTGGTTAATAATTCGTTCAGTTGAAGGAAGTTTTTAAAAATAATACAAGTATCAAGACTTATTATAACTACTCTATTACTCTTTGATATACATTTTTAGTCTTGTAATTAAGGGTAATTCGACGGAGTTATTTGTAGCAAAAAAACATTTTTTTTAACAAATTGACAATTTTGGATATAATAATTTTACCCCAGGAAAAAAGCTAAAAAAAAATTGATTAGATTTTTCGTCACACTGGACACTATCAAATTAAGGGTTAAGATAGTAAGTTCTTATCATCTTTAGGGGTTAATCAGAGTACATTATTATAAAACTAAATGTCAGTAATGGTACTCACTTGAGATGCGCTATCAACTCGCCGTCATCGACCCGCCAAAGCGCAGTCACTTGGTCTAGTCCTGAACTTAATAGTCTATGGTCATCCACAGCGGCTAAGCGAAGAACCTGGATTTCAAAAAATATATTACTCCAATCATAATCTCAATTTAAACTCAAGAGACATATTACAAATTAAAATGTAAAAATGTAATTTTATGTCCATTTTGGAAAGTTTTAGGCTTACTAATGATACAATTGTATGTTTAATAAGGCTATGATTACTGTCTTATAAAGGTAAAATTGTTTAGGTTTGTTATTATTTTTTATTTCTATTAAAGTCGAATATTTACACATTCGTTGGGTTTACGACCGAACCGTATTTAACATTCTAATAATTCAATTACATTTGTAATCATGGATGAAAAGTGTGTAAGTAAACATGTACAGTCGGGGAGATCTGCGGTGTTCCAATTTAGGAAAAAAATGCCTTATTAATTGCAACGAGACAAACTCCGCCTCCTTCTAAAAACTAATTAAATAGTGGCAAACTAAACGAAGTGCAAAAAGAAACTAGTTGTGTATCACTCAACGATTTTTCATACAGATACATTTATAAACAGTTTCTAAGGTAAAACACTGCGTGTTTTCTCAACTGTACGTAGAAGTAGGGGCTACGGATTCCACAATCACACAGCTAGCGCATATTGAGAAAGGGCGCCAGCCATGCATGCGTGCGTGCATGCGTGCGTGCATGCGTGCGTGCATGCATGCATATGACTGACCTCAGCGTCATGCGCGCGCCAGGCGGCGAGGGGCCGCGCGGTGCGCGTGTCGAGCACGGCGACGTGTCCGCCGGCCAGCCCGCACGCCACCCACGCGCCCGACGCACAGATACACATGCAGCGGATGAACGTCGTCGCGCTTGTAGCTAGCTGCACACAAAACATTATTATAAATAAATAGTCGTTAATTAAACCACAAAAAAATACTAACTGCATATTTACCGCTTAGGGGAAAATATGAATCAACAATCAAAAGTTCATAAGAGTGATATATGTCAAGAAATTTACCATTTTATCGAAAATTTCCGAGTTGTGCAATATCAGATGGTTGATTATACAGGATGATTCTTAACGGACGGATCACAAACTTTGTGGAGGTAGAGGACCTCAATAGCTATCGTTTAAGAGCAAAGTATGTTGCCCGATTTTCGCTTTTATCTGTCCGTTCACAATCACCCTGTCTGATAATGTGCTGTGGGTGTAATTCGATATCACAAGAAATAGGACAAAATGTGCGAAATCCCAATGTTTACATTTCTTAGGGATTCATTGAGAATATAGTATGAATTCATACCTTAAGTTCGTAGGAGGAGTAAGGAGCCCTAGCGTCGATGAGGCGGAGCGTGGCGTCCGTGGTGGCCGCCACCACCACCGCGGAGGGCCCCGGCAGCGTGCGCACTATGCTCACTGCTGACTTCATGTTGTCCAACTGAAATACAATAATTCACCTTATCTCCTTTCAACAAACTGGGAGAACAGCCTATTATAATTACACTGGCTCTCGAGTTCACCAGCGTGGAATAAACCACGAAAGTAAGCCTATGTGTTATTTTAGACTATGTTCGACATCCACGTCAAATTTCATCGAGATCTGTTCGGTAGTTTAGGCTACAAACTCTAACAAACATCCATCGCTTTAAACTTTCTCATTTATATTACTAGCTTTCGCCCGCGACTTCGTCCGCGTGGTATTAAAATAACAAAAGTAAGTAGCCTATGTGTTCTTTCAGATTATGCTCTACATCTATGCCAAATTCCATCCAAATCCGTTCAGCCGTTTAGGCTGCAAACACTAACAAACATCCATATAAACTTTCACATTTATAATATTAGTAAGACTTAGAAATAAGATTCGTTATACTAAATATGCAATCAACGAATCATTTTAATTTTACAAAAAAACAAATAAAAACGGAAAAAATCGGAACACAGTACCAAAACTACTGTATAAAAAGTATAATTTTGTTTTTTTTTTTCAGTTTTTAACAATTATTTTTTTTTAGTTTAAATCAGATAACGTACCTGCGACACTACAGTCTCCATGAAGGGGTCCCAGATGTGGACTACGGAGTCGGTGGACACGGCCAGCCGCAGCGACTCCAGGAACGTCAGCGACAGCACGCCCTTCTTGTGGCCCGAGTACGTCCAGTTGCATTGACTAGTCGCATTACCATCGCCCTACGGATAATCCAGATTAAACTATATAAAAATATACAGACGAATTGAGTACCTCAAAAACAAGCAGAAATACTTAGGGCACACGCCTTTGACTAAACTATCGCACTGCTGTGGGATTGTCGATTGTTTTGCAGCCAATTCAACTGTTTAGTTGTACAACTAAACATCGAGTAGTGCACCTCCATATAAGCTCATAGGAATCAAAGCGCGATAAAACGGTTGTGCGATAGTTTGGTCAAAGGTGAGCGCACTTTGTAAACGGTTTACGTTAGTAAGTCCCTTAGTTTTAAAATTACGAGTTTTAATCTATTTTGGAAAATAAAAATATTATAGGATTTCTATGAAGCTTTTAAGATGTCATCACTTAGTTTTAAAATTACAAGAGTTTTAATATATTTTGGAAAATCAGAATATTATAGGTTATCTATGAAGTTTTTAATACGTTATCTCAGTTTTAGTTGAAATTAAATACTTTTTTAATAAAATTTTTGCATGTTTTTTACGTAGACGCGCACGTAACGTACGTACGCACGAACGTAATAGTCCATATAAGCACGCAATCAACCAATATACATGTGGTGTCGTTGTGGGCAGAATTTCGTCGTAACTATTTATTCACTCTTAACATTTTAAAAAAATAACACTTGCAGACGTCTTGTCTTGCCGTCTTTCACACACTACTCTCTCTTTCTTTTACATACATCCATCTCTTTCTTTCAAATCAGTCGGTCATGCGTATCAATCTTATTCACCTAACATTCCTTTTCGTTCTGAAACCACAGACCTACATACATTATTAGTCAATTATAAACAATTAGTTTTAAAGTAAATATACATAAATTAGTTCAAGAAACAGAGCCCCAATGTATTTTTAAAAATGTTTTTTGTGCAATAAAGGGTTTTTTTTATTTTTAATACAGTTCCCATCTTACCTGATTCCTCAAAGACCATAGTTTCACAGTCTTATCCTTAGAGCCACTCATGAAACTGTTCTCATTATCCAGACAATGTATAGACTTGACGGAGTGCGTGTGTCCAAGGAACGTCTGCAACTTGATCTGCTTCAAGTTGAAGCGGGCGTCTTTGTCCGGCCGACCGATCTCGTGCTCCCAGTATATCAACCAATCACCGCGGAGATGTCTGAAAATGTACCGTATTACGTTGTGATAGAGTTCATTATTGATATTACTTAATATTATAAAATGCAAAAGTTTGGATAGATTGATGTTTGTATATCTGATTCAAATGAAATTTGACACAGATGTAGAACACAATCTGGAAGAAATCATAGTCTATTTGCTAAGTTTTTTTTATTATTAATTCTATGCGGACGGAGTCATGGGCAAAAATTAGTTGTCAACCTAAACGACTTGTTCATGGTAATAGGAAATTGAGTTAAAGACGGTTTTGGGTTTAAAAGGATTTGGGATATCAGTGTTGGATTACCTTTCACTCTTCACGCCGTTAGCCATTTTGTAGGCGACAGCATCAAACCCGCAACCTTGTTCATT